AGCCAAACCTACTTAAAAATCAATAATACATCTTAGGTCTTAAAGAGAATTCAGGTCACAGGGTAAAACCACCACCCAGGAAGCTGAAAAACAAAACAAAACACAGAATCACAGCTTACCGGAAGTAGCAAATGTTGCTGGAGTCAGCAACTGGTAGGAAAACTAAGAGTAATTGACCAATTGCTGGCAACTAAGTGTAGACTAAGTTGAGAGATAAAAACTCCTAGAAGCCCAACCTTAGGAAGAGCTGCACCTTTTCAAGAATTTTACCTCTAGGTAAATTTTACCTCTAGGAGCCCCACCAAAGTAAAGATCAAAGAAAATTCTCCAGTGCTTCCTGCAGAGATAGCGGAAAAGTAATCACTGTGAAATACACCCAGAGCATCCTGCTGTCCTTAACAAAGATCTGTCTTCTAGGAAAACTGTTTTCAAATCTAACCAACGTGAGTTTTACTAGAGCCTAGCTGACATGGGGGAAGAAAAATACCCAACTCCAGACTCCTCTAGCCTTCCTGTCTCCCATATAAGTAGGGTGTAGGGAAAGTTGAGAAGCACTTGTAAAGGTCACAGCCATGGAAATAGACCTACTAAAATTCTATGATCTAGTCACAGGATTATAGAACGCTTCTGTTCCCCCTACAACTGACCATCATATCAGCAGGGCTCCTATATAATATCAGAAGGTTACAATTCAAAGAACTGTAAGCTTAGACTCCATTTAATGAGCCTCTAGGGAAATCCAAAAATAACAAGGAAAACAAAAACAAGGACACCTAAAGAATTTTAAATTCTGAATCTTAGCCTTTACCCATCAGGCAGAAAATCAATAAGGATTGAATCAATAGTTGAACTGAACAGCAACATCAATCAACTTGATCAAATTGACACTTATTAATTAGTTTATCAGGTGTCAACAGAATATGCAAGCTTCTCAAGAATACACAATTTTTGTCATGCTCATATATAAATAACATTCACAAAGATGGACCACATTCTGGCCTATAAATTATACATAAAAATTTAAACGAATAGAAATCATACAAAACAGGCTCTCAAACCACAACAGAGTTAAACTAGAAATCACTAACAGATAACTGGAAAATCCCCAAATATTTGGACATTGAGCAACATATGAATCAAGGAAGAAGTATCAAAAGAAACTGAAATATCTGAAACTGAATTAAAATGAAAATAAAAGTTACCAAAAAATTATAGAATGCAGTAAGAGCACTGCTTACAGAGAAATTTATAGCATGTAGTATGTATGCTACAAAAGAAGAGAGATTTAGAATCAGTAATCTAAGCTTTTACCTTAAAAACCAAGAAAAAGAAAAGCAAATTAAACCCAAATAAGCAGAAGAAGTAATATAAATTAGAGCAGAAACCAATGAAACTGAAAACGGGTAAATTAATAGAGAAAAAGTCACTTAAACCACAAGCTGGTTCTTTGAAAGGTCAATAAAATCAATAAACCTCCAGCCAGGCTAACCAAGAAAAAAAGAGAGAGGACACAAATTACTGGTATCATTGACAAAAGAGGGGTCATCCCTACTAATCACATGGATAATGAAAAGGAAACTAAAACAGTATTATAAACAATTCTACGCTCACAAATTTAATATCTTAAATAAAATGGACCATTTCCTTGAATGACAAAATCTAACAAAAGTCACACATGGAGAAACAGATCATCTGAGTAGGTCTGTATCTACTATAGAAACTGAATAAAAAATTAATAACCTTCCAAAAGAAATCACCAGGGCTAGGTGGTTTCACTGGTGACTTCTAGCAAACATGTAAAGAAGAAATAATACCAACTCTCTACAATTTCTTCCAGAAAACAGAAGCATAGAAAATATTTCCTAACTCATTGTATGAGGGCAGCATTACCCTAATACAAAAACCAGAAAAAGGGATTCAAAGAAAGTTAAAGAACAGTATCTCTCACAAACACAGATGCAAAAATCCTCAAGAAAATATTAGCAAAAGGAAACCATGTATAAAAAGAATTATAAACCACAACTAAGTGGGATTTATTCCATGCATGCAAAGCTGGTTCAACATTCCAAAATCAATTAATGTAATCCATCATATCAACAAGCTAAGGGAAAAAAAAACATATGATTATATCAACAAATATAGAGAAAGAATCTGACAAAATCCAACACCCATTCAACATGAAATCTACCAACAAACTAAGAATCCAAAGGAACTTCCTCAACTTTATGTATCTATGAAAAAACCAACAGCTAACACCATACTTAATAGTGAGAAACTAAAAAGTTTCCTCACTGAGATCAGGAATAAGACAAGGATGTCCCTTCTCACCATTCCCATGCAACGTTATATTGGAAGCCTTGGCTAACACAGTAAGACAGGAAAAGGAAATAAAAGGTACAGATTGGGAAGGAAGAAATAAAAACAAATTCTACTCCTACAAATTCTACAGAATTTTGCTAAGAATTTACCCCCCCCAATGAAAACATATGTCCACACAAAAACGTGTAATGAATGCTTATAGCAGCTTATCCATAATCACCAAATATGAGAAGTAATTTTAATTAACTATTGCTGCATAACAATTACCCCAAAACTTACCAGCTTAAAACACCAAACATGCGTTACTTCACAATTTCTATGAGACAGAAATTTGGGAGGAACTTGATTGAGCACTTTGGTTCAGGAATGTTCAGAAATTTGCAGTCAAGTCATCTAAACCAATTAATTATCTGAAATCTTGACTGGGGCTGGAGGATCCATTCTAAGATGGCTTGATCATCTGGCTGTTGACAAGAAGCCTCAGTTCTTCATTGGCTACTGTCAGGAGGCCAGAGCTCCTTGCCACACAAACCTCTTCACCAGGTCCCTTGTTTCCTCACAAAATGGCAGCTGACTTCTAGTGAGTGATCAAAATGAGAACAAGGCATAGTCACAATGTCTTTTTTCAATCTAATCTCAGAAGTCACATACTATCACCTCTGCCATATTCTACCAGTTCCAGAGACCAATCCTGACACACTGCAGGAGAAGTCAACATTAAGGCATGAATACCAGGAGACAAGGATCACTGGGACCATTTTGGAAGCTGGCTACCACAAACCTAGATTTCCACTAACTGGTGAATAGGTAAACAAATTATGGTATAACCATACAGTGGCACAGTAATCAGCAATAAAAAGGAACAAACTACTGATATATGTAACAGCATGGAAAAAATCACAAATGCTAAGTGAAAGAGCCAGACCTAGAAAGCTACATACAGTGTGATTACATTTACACACATTCTCGGAAACGTATAACCAGAGGGATACAAAACAGATCAAAGGTTGTCAGGAGCTAGGAAGGGGGCAGTAGAGTGACTACAAAAGGGCATGAGGGAATTTCTTTAGATAATGGAAATACTCTATATTTGATTGTGATGGTGCTTGGAGTTTGTTAAAATTCACACAACTATAACACCTAAAAAAGGTGAGTTTTATTGTAAATCAATTATACCTCAAAAATTACTTATAAAAAGAGAGAGAAAGGAATCCTAAGAGAAAACAAGAGGCTTGGTTGGGAATATTGCTATAGCAGTCTTAATGTGTAAATAACAAGTTTCCAAAGGAAACTTTGGAAAATGTTATTAAACCAATAAAATTATAATTAATGTTACTCAAGCTAAAAAACTTTCTCTGAGCTTAAGTCTACAGATTGAAAATGCCCATCAAATTACAAGTTAGACAGATGAGAGAAAAGATACACATGTATCCTGGCATATCCTGGCAAAAGTCTTGAACTTTAAGAATAGAGGGGCGCCTGGGTGGCGCAGTCGGTTAAGCGTCCGACTTCAGCCAGGTCACAATCTCGCGGTCCGGGAGTTCGAGCCCCGCGTTGGGCTCTGGGCTGATGGCTCAGAGCCTGGAGCCTGTTTCCGATTCTGTGTCTCCCTCTCTCTCTGCCCCTCCCCCGTTCATGCTCTGTCTCTCTCTGTCCCAAAAATAAATAAACGTTGAAAAAAAAAAATTTTTTTAAAAAACGAACAGAAAAGTTTAGGGGCACCTGGGAGGTTCAGTTGGTTGAGGATCTGACTTTGGCTCAGGTGATGATCTCATGGTTTGTGGGTTTGGGCCATGCATCAGGCTCTGTGCTGACAGATTGGAGCCTGGAGCCTGCTTCAGATTCCATGTCTCCCTCTCTCTCTGCCCCTCCCCCACCTTCACTCATGCGCTTGCTCTCTCTCAAAAATAAATGCTAAAAAAAAAAAAAAAAAATTGAAATGCTTCCAGAAAGAAAGAACAAGTTACTTAGAAAAAAAGAGAGAAAGCATAAGCTTTCTTATTTGCAACAAAAAGGAAATAATGATATAGTACCTCAAATTTTTGAGAAGAGGACCACGACCCAAAAACTCTATCCCAATCAAGAGTAAAATAAAAAATCAAAAAATAAAACTTTTTTAAAAGAAAAGGGGTGCCTGGATGGCTCACTCAGTTGAACATCTGACTCTTGATTTCAGCTCAGGTCATGAGCTCAATGGTTTGTGAGTTTGAGCTCTGCATCAGGCCCTGTGCTGACAGGGCAGAGCCTGCTTTGGATTTTCTCTCTCTGCCCACCCCACTCATGTGTTCTCTCTCAAAAATAAATAAATAAACTTAAAACAATAAAACATAAACTCTTTTAAAAAAAGAGTAAAATAAAGTTACCTAGGAACATGCAATGACTGAAAAAATGTATCACCCACCTATCCCATCTAGAGAGATAACCAACAAAAAATGCTCACCAAATAATTAAATCATTGCAGAGATAGAGGAGGATAAAGAAGAGACCTTATGAAACCTGCAGTTAACTTAAAGTGGAATTAGTAAAACAAATGGGAAGAAATATATAACAAATGAAAACTTAGTTTAAAATTAAAAGAAACCATCTAAACAAAAAAGAGTATTAAAGTCAGTCCTGTGTACAAGGAAACTGTAAATAGTTATCACAAACAACTTTTTTGGTTTTTCTTTTGTTTTGTTTACCTGGTTTGCACGATGAGAGTGACCAAACAGCTTGTGACCCAATTTCCCGTACTGTTCCAGTCCTTTCCAACTGCTTAGGGTCAGCACCAGGAGGTGTCTTGTTTGGTGTGGTCATTTTAAAAATATTCTACGAAGAAAACAAGAATATCCACATTATACCAGGACCTGAGCTTCTTTCTACAAAAGGTAAAAATTAAAATTTAGTAGCAAAATGGATCACTACCCTTGATATTAACCATCTATTTCTCAAATGAAGTTAACATAACTCAACCACTATAATTAAAAAATCTTAGGAATTCAATTTTTGTTTTTAAAATATATTATGATTTACAAGATGTGCAAACAGTAGAGTATAATAGTCAAAAGAGCATGGGATCATAGTTTCAACTTCAGCCTCTCCTTTAACTAGCTTAGACTTCGGGCAGGTCTGGGCTTTATTTCTTACCTCTAAAAGGGGTTGACTTGATCTATAATTCCATAATGCTATACAATTCTATACCTCTCTGAATAAAAATTCTTTTTTTTAAAAACGATTTTATTTTTAAGTAATCTCTACACCCAACGTTGGGCTCAAACTCACAACCCCAAGATCAAGAGTGCATGCTTCGCCGACTGAGCCAGCCAGGTACCCCTCTGAGTAAAAATTCTTAATTCAAATGAATTTTTTTCTTTAGAGAAGTTAAACTGAAATGTTCGTATTCCAGGGACGCCTGGATGGCTCAGTCGGTTGGGCATCCGACTTTGGCTCAGGTCATGAACTCGCAGTCCGTGAGTTGGAGCCCTACGTCAGGCTCTATGGTGACAGCTCAGAGTCTGGAGCCTGCTTTGCATTCTGTGTCTCCCTTTCTCTCTGCCCCTCCCCTGTTCACGATCTGTCTGTTTCTCTCTCTCTCTCTCTCTCTCTCTCTCTCTCTCTCTGTCAAAAACAAACTTTAAAAAAAATCTAGAAATATTCTTATTCCAGGAATATGTAAATATTCGTTTCCATTTTTTATTTAGCAAATGTAAATTTGTTTTTGATAACTTTTTATTAAAATATAATAAACAGTGTTATATTAGTTCCAGGTGTACAACATATGATTCAACAATTCTATACATTTCTCTGTGCTCATCACTGTAGGTTTACTCTTAATCCCCTTTATGTGTCTCACCCATCCTCCCATCCACCTCCCCTCTAGAAACCTGTTCTCTGAATTTAACAGTCTGTTTATTTTTTTCTGCTTGTTTTGTTTCTTAAATTCCACACGAGTGAAATGATATGATATTTGTCTTTCTCTTATTTCTTATTTCTCTTATTTCTTTCTTATTTCAGACTTATTTAATTTAGCCTTATACCCCCTAGGTCCATCCATGTGGTTGCAAATGGCAAGACCACATTCTTTTTTTATGGCTAGTATTTCATAATGTGTGTGTATCTACCTATTTATCTATCTCTCTCTATGTGTGTGTGTATACCACATCTTCCTTATCCATTCATCCACTGATGGACATTTGTGTTGCTTCCACATCTTGGCTATGGTAAATAATACTGCAGTGAACACTGGGGTGCATATATCCTTTCAAATTAGTGTTTTTATTTTCTTTGGGTAAATTACCTAGTAGTGGAATTACTGGAGTAATTCTATTTATAATTTTTTGAAGAACTTCCATACTGTTTCCCACAGTGTTTGCACCAATTCACATTCCCTCCAACAATGCACAAGGGTTCCTTTTTCTCCAGCATCATTGCTAACACTTCTTATTTCTTATCTTTTTGATTCTACCCATTCTGACAGATATAAGGTGATATCTCACAACAGATACATGAAAAGATACTCAACATCACTAATCATCAGAGAAATGCAAACAAAACCACAATGAGATATTGGTCTCCATTTTAAATAGTCCATTAAGTGAAACAGAGAAATATCACTTCTCCCCACTAGTTGTCAAAAGTTTAACTTACGTGTGCTCTTGCCATAGAAGATAACATCAGAAAAAAGGTTTCAAGGCGTAGAAGTGAATAACTGACCCATTCTAAACCCAAAAATTTACTGGAACTTTCTCATCTTTTGTTAATCTTGGTAAGTCTATGCAAACATGAAAAAAAAAAAAAATCTCTGGGGCCCCTGGGTGGCTCAGTTGGTTAAGCGTCTGACTTTTGGCTTCAGCTCAGGTCATGATCTCACAGTTCATGGGTTCCAGCACTGCACGGAGCCTGCTTGGGATTCTGTCTCCCTCTCTCTGTGCCCCTCCCCTACTTGCTCTCTCTCTCTCCCTCTCTCTTTCTCTCAAAAATAAATAAATAACAAACATTTAAAAAATATTTTTTAAAAATATCTGATAGTGAACATGTAAAACAGCTTATAAGTAGTGCAAAGTTACAGATACTGAACATTGTTATATATGCTATTATAAACCTGGCCCAGGGAGCCTGGGTGGCCTCAGTCAGTTAAGCAACTGACTTTATTTCAGAGAGCGGCTCTGCACTGACAACAGGGAGCCTGCTTGGGATTCTCTCTCGCTCTCTCTCTCTCTCATAAATAAATAAACTTAAAAAAAAAAAAAAAAAACTTGGCCCAATATTTCAGTATACCATCTCGTTGACACCTTTTAGATTTCAGTTGTTTCCTAATCTCAACACAGCTCTTGATACTCATTAAATAATAGTAGAGCCACTAGACTGTAAAATCCAGAAAGGCCTGAGACTTAAATGCTCAGTTAGCAATTTACATAACGAATAAATGTATGAACGAATAGGTGCAGTCCTAAGCTAAAGTATTTGCCTTCTGCAATTTAAGTAAGGTCTAGGATGAGACAAGTAAAACTGTGACAGTCACTACAAGCTGAATGTCCAGTCATTGTCAAATATGCAAAAATGTCAAATTGTCAAAAAAAAAAAAAAAAAGCCCAACTCTACATAGGAGCAGAATTCAACTGCCTGCTTTGATACTGTACGCCACCAAGTGGAAAAAACGCGGAGCTCGGAAAAACCTGGCTTCCTGGCCACTCCGTTCAGAAGAAACTGAAGCCAAGGAGACAAGGCCACGGCCAGCAGTACCTGGACCACACTCTGTCGATTCTGCTAGATACCTCTGCTAGAAATACTAGAATGGGCAATGGCTCTCCAGCGGCCTTGAGATCGCGAGCGGAAAAGGGGATTGAGAATAGGGATGCGAACGCATCTGCTTACGAGAGAACCATTCTCCAGGACAGGGCGGAGGAGAGAAGCTCACACCCTTAGAGCTTGCAGACCCGGCTTGCCGCAACCCACCTTTTTAAGATTCCCTGCAGCTCGGTGCCACTCCCACTCAGGACAGCCCGGCTTCCCACAGACGTTAGTTTGGAGTCGCAGGACAATGACGTCAGTTCTCGCCAGGGCTCCGCCTGTCGCTCTCTGTCGCGCGTGCGCACTGCGTCCCTAAGGCATGCGCGAGGCGGTGGTTGAGCACCGCCATTTTGGCCGGTGGCCGTAAGAACACGCTGTGTGAGAGAGAAGTGAAAGGAAGAACGGACTTGGCTTCTGCGCTCTCCTCCGCAAGGGAGTCGTTTTCTCCAGGTACCTGAATGGCCCGGGAGGGTTTGGCCGTTAGCTGTGGTCTCCCACGATTTAAAGACAGTAGGGACGTTGTCTGAGAGCCTTTGGTGAGGCCTCTGGTGTCAGCAGTGAAGGAGGCAGCGGCGCGTGGCAGCCGGCTCGGGAGGGACAGCTGGAACCGCCGAAGCGCGGACGCTGCGGAGGGCTTAGAGGTGCGTCGCGCATCCCCTCCAGCTGACCTGGCTCTTGGCCACTGTTGCCAGCCACCCCCCCCGCCAGGGGCTACGAGAATGGATTTACATGCCCTCTCAGAGATGTAATCTCCACCGTCTCCACTCCCCCTTTACTACTAGTCTTGCCCTATTACAGAGAAGAAGGCAACTTCAGAACTCAAAGCATCGTCGTTTCCCCCCCCACCCCCCATCCTTACCCTGACACAGTGAAATGGACTTATTGGCACATGTGCTTATTTGATTATAGGAAGTCGTGGCCTTTTCTTCCTCGGCTTTTCTGGTGATTATGGAATGAGTCATGGCATTTTGCCGTCTTTATAGAAATGATGGCCAGCTGTAGCTCTACTTTTCTCATAGAGCAACGTGTATTCGATTATCCCAAGTAACCTCCCAGTTGAATGCCTTTAGCTTTTTTGGTGCGCTTTTATAGCACTTGGTACTTTCTTCTTGGTGACTTACTTGTTTTCCCCTTATGTCTTAAATTGCGTGAGATCAGGGGCGCATTGGTTCGTACCTTGTAGACGCGAAGTCCAAAGCCTATTCTGACATCCCGTAAGCTACATAAATGTATTTTCTCTTATTTTGTGTATGGTAGTCCGTAACAGTGAGGAATAACTGTCAAAACAGTGGGGAGGGATGTGGGAGGGTTTTTGGGGGGGGGGGTTTGTTTTACCCTCTCTTGCACAGAGACTGCTAGTTAGGCATTTATGATAGTGGCATTTGCGTTGCATTTCTCAGTACGTTTGTCTCCTATACTGAGAATATTCATCCTATATCAGCTACCTAACAACAGTGCTTTGTCAATATTAGCCAAGGGCTCTTATCTGTATTTGTATCAAAAAGGGTATTTTTTTTTTCACGTTAAAAACCTTGTTAGCCCCATAAAAATTTTTTTTCAGGAGAACATTTAATATGGTTTCTGGGGGAAAAAAGTGGTATTATTTTGTTGTCCCTTCTAAATGTCTTCAGTGTAGGATTCTGAAATCAGAGTTGTGCACCACTCCCAACTTACATGTTTTATAAGACTAATAACCTGCAGTAACCATAAGTTGGGATATTTTATGTGATACCAAGCATCATTTGTTAAGAGCAATCTCTTAAGTGCTTTCACATGGTGTTATAATAATTTTGGTCTTAGACTACAAATGCTTTTCATAATGCCTCACTTCCTTTTTTCTTGCCAGCTGGAAGAATAACACTGAGGGTCATTGTTTGAGTACCTATTTTGAAAAGTTTGTATTCAGATCTGAAATACCTTCACATTTCTCTTTGTTTCCAGAAGTCTGTTACTAAACTCTACCTTCCCCCACCCAAGCCTTACAGCCTGTATCATTCTCATTGAAAAAGAAAGTAGGTATCCCCCCCACCCGCCAATTCTTGAAAATAATATACGAATTTAATCAGTAGTGTTTACACAAGTAACAGTTATACAAAGATTCTGTATTCCTTATTCTTAAATGCATTATAACTTATCACTTTCTTACATAAATCTGCTTATTAGTCATCTCTGATAATGTTTTTATTTTTCTATAAAAGTCATCTCACATTCACTTAGTTTTTAAAAAGGTTTTTTGAAATATCAGATGAAACACTTAAGTAGTTTGACAGAAATAAAGTTGAACGTAAACAATTTTGTGATGAAAGATTTATGCTCTAAAATGAACTTCATGACATTCATTCATCGGATAATTTGTATGGTGTCCAGCTTTATTTTAATAACTAACGAATCTTCAGTTTTCAGGGAGTTGTCACTTACAATGAAAGCTTTTTTTGTAGCAATTCAAAAGTTATTTGATTTCTTTCTCTTCTAGTCTTTATGAAAACTAGACCAGCTTTTAAAGGGGTAATGGGTCTAGAAGTTACCATTACCATTCTGTTTATTACATAAATACTTAGTCTCCTTTTGGTTGATTTTTTTTTTTCTCACTACATACTTTAGTGGATAGCTGTTGCTATGAAATATTGGTAATTTGCAATATTTCTGAAGTCACTATAACCTATAGGAAAACTATTTACTATTTTTAAATTAATTTTCTCATTTATTCAACAGAAATACTTGAGCTTTTATAATATGCTGGACACTGGTTTAGCCACTGGGCTGAACAGACAAGAAATCTCTGCCCTCATGATGGAGTACTTTTTACTTGGGGAGGAAAAAGTACTGTCTGTGTGTAGAGAGAAAGAATATATAAATACATGTATACACACGATAAATACATACATAAACCATATATACACATACATATGAAATATATACTGTGCAGTATAGTAGAAAGAGCTAAAGAGAAAAATAAAGCAAATCAGGAAAGAAAAAACCAAAACAGTGGGTGTATTTTTTGGTAGTATAAGCTAGAGAAGGCTCACTGAGAAATAAACATTAAAGACTTGAAGTAGTGAGCCTTGTAACTCACTAGGGGGAATAGCATTACACGCAGAGAGAATAGAAAAGGTCAAGGCCCTGAAGCAAGAACTGTCTGACATGTGCTCTAAGAACCACAAGAAGCCAAGGTGGTTGGATCAAAATGAACAAGAGCTGGAGTAGTTGGAGTTGAGATGAGAAAGTAGTATAAGCTAATCAGTACCTCATTTGTTATTTTAAGGACTTTGGCTTTTACTCAGAATGAGTAGAGAAGCCTTTGCAGGACCTTAAGCAGAAGAGTGACATGATATGGCTTACACTTCAAAAGGATCACCCTGGGGCACCTGGGTGGCTCAGGCAGTTTGGTTCTTGAACCCGGCATCGGGCTCTGTGCTGACAGCTCAGAACCTGGAGCCTGCTTTGGATTTTGTGTCTCCCTCTCTCTTCCTCTCCCCCACTCACATTGTGTCTCTCAAAAAATGAGTAAACATTAAAAAAATAAAAGGATCACCCTTACTTCTGTCATGAGAAGGAACTGTCAAGGGTTGAAGTAGAAGTAGGTAAAAGTAAAGCAGAGAGACCTGATAGGGAGCTATTAGAGTAATGCAGGTAAGAAATAATGATGGCCTAAACCAGAGTGAAGAGAAGTGGCCAGATTCATGAAGGTAAATTGTACAGAATTTGCTGCTGTGGCATGTAAAAGATAACTTCAAGGATTTGGGCTTAAGTAAATGGAAGACTGGAGTTGTCATTTAACAGAATGGGCAAGGCTGCTAGAGAAGCACATTTTGGTTGGGACTTCTGGTGTTCAGTTTGGGAGATGGTATATTAGACCTTCAGGAAGAGATGTTGGGTAGTCAGGTAGATAAACAAGTTTACGGTTAGGAGAGGTGTCATGACTAGAGCTAGAAATTTGGGACTTAGCAGCATATAAATAGGATTTAAAGCCATGAGATTAGAATAAAACACCTTAGAGAATGAATTAAATTTTAAAAATGTGACAGTATTAGAGTACTCTTCAACTTTTAGAAGCCTAGAAGATAAGGAAAAGTGACCAGGAAAATAGGAGGGAAACTGGATCAGTACTATGTCCCAGAACCAAGTTAAGAAAGGGTTTCTGCATAGCAGGAAAAAGTCATATTTTGTGTTAGATGCAATAGGTTGTTCGAGTAAATTAGGAACTGTTAACTATTTGTTTTACCCATGTATAGAACAGTGGTGGACCTGACAAGCTATTCTGGTGGAATGATGAGCACTAAAGTCTGAAATGAATTCCAGAGAAAATACACAGACATTTGGAACACTGACTATAGCTATACAGCTCTTCCAAATAGTCTTGCTATAAAAGGAAGGAGGGGGCGCCTGGATGGCTAAGTTGGTTAAGCATCCTACCTACTCTTGATTTTGGCTCAAGTCATGATCTCACAGTTCATGGGATCCAGCCCTTCATTGAACTCTGCTCTGACAACGCGGAACTTGCTTGGGATACTCTCTCTCAAAAAATAAGTAAACATTAAAAATAAGTGGAACGAGAAATAAAGCAATGGGGGAAGATGGGGGAAGATAATAGATTATTTGAATGCTGATGAAAATGAGCCAGTGGAATAATTGATGATATGAAGTACAGGAGAGAATTGTTAGAAAATTCCCCTTAGTAGATGTCTTTTAGTGTGCAAGTGTACTTCACTGTAGAAATTTATATGGGATTGCTGGTTGGCTGGTTCACTTGAGATGACACTAACCAGCAAGGCTTTGCTTTTGTCTACCCATTTTCGGCTTTACATGTGCAGGTGAAGAGTTGTATGTAACTAGGATTATAGTTTAGGATATAAATGATTAACGGTGGATTTTAGCTGGGTACAGAGGGACATGAAGTTAGAAAAACTGAGGGACAGTGGTAATATGGTAGAATTAAGAGATAATGATAGTAGGTCTGGGGAATGGGGAGTTCAAAGGGTTGTTGGATTGTTGGATACGAGAGGGGTAAACTGAAAAGACAGGAGTAGTAATTGAAGAATGGGGTATTTGAAAAGAAGGTTATAGAAGGATTGCAGTCATTGGTAATAATAAGGTCAAAGCGGGGCGCCTGGGTGGCTCAGTTGGTTGAGCATCTGACTTCGGCTCAGGTCATGATCTCACAGTCCGTAAGTTCGAGCTCCACATCAGGCTCTGTGCTGACAGCTCAGGGCCTGGAGCCTGCTTTGGATTCTGTGTCTCCCCCTCTCTCTGCCCCTCCCCTGCTCATGCTCTGTCTCTCTCTGCCTCAAAAATAAATAAAAACATTTTTAAAAAATTAAAAATAAGGTCAAAGTTTCACCAAAGGAATGAGGATGAAAGACAAGATCACTGGAGGAGAGAGGTTACTGAAGTAAGAGAACAGGCTGTTAATAGGAAGATCATCTATGAACATACTGAGATCAAGAGTTCTGACAGGATTTGTAAAAGAGTAAAATTTAGCCTAGGGCTGAAATGAGGATGGGAGGGAGTGATCTGACGGTTAGTAAATGGAAGCAGTTGGATGACCTGAGAGGCAAAAGCTGACTATAATGAGGAGGGAGAGATAAGATAGTCTGGGAGGAGCATGGAGCATAATCTCTTATCCCACTCCAAACCTAAAGGCATTGCGGAGTGAGAAAGAGGTGTACAAGGGAAAGCAGTCAGTCAAAACAAAATCAGAATTCACACAATCCTTGATAGAAAAGGCCAACAGAATGTCTTTTTTGATGGGTATTCTTTTGGCTTCAGGTTCTGCCATTACATACTGGAATAACCTGGAGTTTTAAGATAGTTTTCAGAATTATTTACTTTAATCACCATTCTGAGAAAATTGATGTCTGTCACTAAGCCCAACATGGTAGAAGATTTTTAAGTTCACTTTGAGCTTAGCTGCATAATTGATGGTACTGTTAAATATCAAGACTTACAGAAGCTTTAAAAGTGAGCACAATCTACATGTATGGTTCCTTGGTCTTTTCATTTTAATGCTATTAGCATAAGTGTCATCTTGGCCATATTACAAATTCTTAAAGAAATGGCAATTTTTAACTTTTCCCCTTAGTCAACATCAGGGTCACAACCTTAATAATTTCCTATTTCTGTTATTAACATCCTTAATAGATAAGACATGAAGTAATACTTAATTTGAGAGAGGGAGTAAACATCTTTATTATATGTATTACTTTTTCACATCAACTCTTTCTATTCTGTTTTATTGGACTGTACTCATACACTGGTATCAGTATTAATTACTGAGACATTATATCATTTTTTTCCATCTGTTAAATCTAGGTTCCCCCATTCCATTTGCTCTTTTTCCTTTTCCTAAGCCATTCTTTTTGCATAAGAGCTTTTGGTTTGGCTTGTCTGGTTTAATGTTTTTTCCTTGAAATTGGATTAAATGTATAATTTGGGCGAAGGTTGAAATGTCTGATATTGACTATTCTGTATTGTAAAAACTGAGATAGTGCGTAATTTGATGAAGTCTTTTTATGTTTTTAAGTTGTGATTTGAAAGTTTTCTCACATGTATATATTTTGTAAGATGATTCCTAGATCTTTCCTTTTTTGTGACCAGTGTGCTTTTTCCTTCTTTATATAAATCTTCTGATTAGTAGTATATATGTAAAATTTTGTTTTCTCAACGTGACTAAGTCATTTCATTGATTTCACTAGGTTTTTTTTTTAGTAGTTCTAGATAATCATATCTGAATATAGTGATAATTTATGTTCTCTCCAACTTTTATGCCTATGATTCATTTCTCTTAACTAATTGCGTTGACTGTGCCATAATTTTGTTAACTTTTCTTTTAATAGAAAAGCTGGATATTCTTACTTAGAATTATGGCAGATAAATTAACAAGAATTGCTATTGTCAACCATGACAAATGTAAACCTAAGAAATGTCGGCAGGAGTGCAAAAAGAGTTGCCCTGTGGTTCGAATGGGTAAGCAGTTCTTTGGATCATTTAAAGATAAGAAAAAGTTTTAAAAAAATTGACTTCATAGTTCTCTAGGCATGTACTTAGTTTCTTTAAACTGTAAAAATAAGACCAGATTTTGTTCTAAATTTTTTATTGCTTTGTGACTAAACGGTCCTATTTTTGCTAATGGTAGAATAATGTATTACCAGTATTTTTTAAAGTTCATTGGCTATAAAAGCAGAGTTTGTTATTAAGATTCTTACTGTTCTACAAAAATTCTATAATTATTTAAGTCTTGGAGAGAAGACTACCAGTATATTTTGGTTTTGATAGTATTCTCATTTTAAAAAGCAGGAATAAATAGCTTAATAAGAATGACTAATTCATGAGGTTTTACTACATATTTCCAAAATTAATTAATTTTCAAAATTAATTTAAAACAATTCAGAATTATTGGTAGTCTTTGAGGGCTGTGTTATAATTGTTACTTTAACTGTACTAGTGAGGTGTATGTACTCTTGAATCTTAAACTTTAGATGTCATCTATTATAGTCTGCCGTGCTATTTAGAAATTCTGTTATTAATATCTGTAATACCAAGTTTAATTTCTTGTGTATATTGGATGACTACATACCTTTTTGGAGCTTTACTGATTTAGCTAACGTATTACATTCCTTTTCCTGGTGTACTTTGCCATTTCCAAGGTATATTTTGTGAATTAAGTATTCAGGTCATTCAGCTTAAAAATAAAACTGTTTTAGGGGCACCTGACTGATTCAGTCAAAAAAGCATGTGACTCTTGCTCTCAGGGTCCTGAGTTCAAGCCCCATGTTAAGGGTAGAGATTACTTAAATGAATAAATAAACTTTTTAAAAAATAACAAAACTGTTTTAGGAAGCATATTTTCTTCCCCAGTAGTAAATTAATATATATTAATAATTATAATTAATTCCCACATAGCACTGTTTTTTTAGGATATTATCTCAAATGTATTTCTTCCTGTGTTCTTTGTTTTTGAAAATCAGCTTCTGTATGGAGATTTGGAACCAGAATTACCTAAATAACAATGTTCAGAAAATTAGAATGGCAGGGAAAATGACTTCATTCTATCTTTTCTTTTGCCAGGAAAATTATGCATAGAGGTTACACCCCAGAGCAAAATAGCATGGATTTCTGAAACCCTTTGTATTGGTTGTGGTATTTGTATTAAGGTAAGTGATATTTTATTTATCAGATCACATTTGCAAGCTGAAAAAGAAGTCAGAAAATTCTGAATGTGTTATAACTGGTTTTTCTAATTTTTTATTTTTTTAGAGAGAGAGAAAGCACAAGCAGAGAGGGAAGGAAGGAAGGAAGGAAGGAAGGAAGGAAGGAAGGAAGGAAGGAAAGAAAGAGAGAGGGAGAGAGAGAGAGAGAGAGAGAGAGAGAGAGAGAGAGACTGAGACTCTCAAGCAGGCTTCACGCCCAGCACGGAGCTCAACATGGGGCTCAATCCTATGACCCTGGATCATAACCTGAGCCGAAATCAAGAGTCGGACACTCAACCGACTGAGCCACCCAGGCATCCCCATTATAACTATTTTTAAAGAAGCAAAATATAAAGCAGCGAATAAAGAATATAAATTTAGGAGAATGTTATTCTAGCAAAAATCTAATATTGTTGCTTTTTTAATTAATTAAGCCACCCTATGTAAAAGTTATCCTTGCCACACTCAACTTTGGAAAGCCGTTTCCAACCAAAATTAATTTCTTTTTTCATCCTTTTTTTATTTCACCCTTTTATGAGGACATTCTAGAGCATGTCTTTACAAGTACTTTTGGAAACGTAAATACAAAAAGTATGAGTCATGTTACCTGCAGTCTTTTCAAGTCTGTATTTAATTTTAAATAACATCTTTTAAACAGAAACTCACTCAGCCAAAATGTTTTTAATTTAACGCAGTAATTTTTCAAAATACCTCAATTAGTTTTTGTTGCATTGAATGGTTTAGTTAAGGCTTTCAAGTTTAAAATGATAGATTTCCAAACTTAGTTCATAAATAATATTTAAGAACCAGTGCATTATGTTTCTAATTTAGACATTTGTAGATAATTATTTTAAAAAAGGGCTTTTACCAGAGTATGGATACTACCCTCTTACTGATTCTCATAAGGTTTATGTGTATTTTATATTGGTTTCTGAATCTTTAATTAAGTATCCAAAAGAATTTCATTGGTATGAAAGTGTTTTCCCTCGTTTTGAAAATACAAGCAGGAGACATTCCTTCCAGAAAACATTTACTAATCTCTTATGTACCTGTCAGTGTTGGAGGTGCTGGAGATCTGATTTTGAACAATATATTCTACCCTATTTTCTTCTTCACTGATATAAAAAAATGAGATCTCAAATTTTGGGGTATACACTTCAGTGGCTGAAAGGATACTGATATGAGGAATCTGTGGTGGGGATAATAGATACCCTCTGAACACTAAGGTACTTATAGTGCACCGCATACATGAAATAGTATTCTAAACAGATGTTTATATTACTTTACAGCCTATAACCATTTTATGTACATTTGTGGAATAACAGAAAATTCTGTAAATGGAGGTAACTCTATTGGCAGAAAACTATATTGTATACAAAATTAGTAGTTTGGGGGTGCTTGGGTGGCTCAGTCGGTTAAGCGTTCAACTCTTGGTTTCGACTCAGGTCATGATCTCATGGTTCTCGAGTTCAGGCCCCACATTGGGCTCTGCGCTGGCAGTATGGAGCCTGCTTGGGATTCTTTCTCTCTCCCTCTCTCTCTGCCTTTCCCCCACTCGCTCTCAAAATAAATAAACTTAAAAAAAAAAAAAGATTCTCTTTCCTTCTGTCAATGCCCCTCTCTCTTGCTTATACACTCTCTGTCTCTAAATTAAAATAAATATATATATGTATATTTTTTAAAAGAAATAATGGTTTTGGTTAGAAGGTGGTAATTACTTTGTTAGAACATAAGAATTTTTGTTTTTTAATTTTCTGTGTTCTTAAAACTTACTGAGAATTCACTGAAATCGTTACATACAAAGATTTTTAAATTGATCCCCTCAACTCTTTGAACAGTTCTGCTAAACAGATATCTAATCTGAGGTTATATTCTTTGAATGTATCTTTATAGTTGTCTGAGCAATGTTTGTAGTCATATTGATGCTCTTAAATGATCTTCCAGTTCTTGCCATTCTTATTCCTTGGATTTTTATTTGATTGATAATGAACTTCGAGTTTTTCTATAAGTAAACTTTTTTTTAATGTGAATTTACTCAGTTGCAATATAAAGCATCTGTTTCATATGGGATGGTTAAAAACCACAATGGAAAGACATTAATCCTTGCTCTGTGCAGATATTATGCTAGCTGTTGGTGGGATGTAAATAGACTGAAGTAAGTACCATCTGGAAAGGACTTAACCTTAAATCTGACTAAACATTAACCATAAAGACCTTAAAGGACTTTACAAAGTACAAAAAAAAGCATACAAAGACAGGAAGAAGGAGGTAGTGAGAAAGCATCTGTCAACTGAATATGGAATGATATACTCAATAAACATGTTTTATCTTATGTTGCCTCTTAGCCGTATCTAATGTTAAAACACACACACAAATAGCCCTCAATTTTTGTAAGGTTTTTCATTAAGTATTAAAATCTAGAAATATGCCAGTCACTAACGGAGATACAAAATGAGTTAAAATGATTCTTGCCTTCAAGGAATTAAACTTTTATTTTTTAAGTAGATAAGAAAATGAAGCAGTATTTTACATCTTGTGGAAGTCCCACACTTGGGGTTTTTTGTTTGTTTTTTTGTTTGTTTGTGTTTTTTTTGGTAATCTCTACACCCAGTGTGGGGCTTGAACTTAACCCTGAGAACAAGAGCCACATGCTCTTCCGACTGAATTAGTCAGGTACCCCATAATTCCCCCATTTTGAAGATTGTTTATAAAAAATTCTTAATCTATCCGTTTTAGTCATATGTACATTTCTAGAAATTAACATAAAATTCTTTACTTTAAATAACAGAAATGTCCCTTTGGCGCCTTATCAATTGTCAATTTACCAAGCAATTTGGAAAAAGAAACAACACATCGATATTGTGCCAATGCCTTCAAACTTCACAGGTATATTTTCAAGTCAACATTTTTCTACTTTGATCAAGAGTAAAATACATTTGAAATTTTCAGAGAAAGATGAAAATGGGAAGAAGTATTAACCATCCACTAAAGAGAAATGCAAAATTATAATGTATAGAATCGTACTGTATATGTCAGTGTTTCATTCTGGCTAACATTAGAATTACTTGGGTTTTTTTTTTTAAAAAACTAATGCCTAGGTTTCAGCCCAGTTGAATTACATTATATCTCTAGATATTGAATCTAGACCTCAGTAAGTTGAAAAAGCTCCCAAGTGATTCTGATATACAAGTGAGGTTGAGAATTACTATTATTAATAATACTCATATCCCCAAAATAACTTTTAAGGAACTTGTTTTCTATTTTCATTATTTACTAATCTCCTCTACAGAGACTATTACTCTGAACTTAAACATATATTGTTAAATCACAGGAGTGCTTTGAGGTTTTTAATCTGCTAAACACTGTTATTCTGAATCTGAGAGTCTAGATTTAACTAATAGAAAGGTATTTCTCAACCTGCCAGCTTTAAAGAGCCTACTGCAGCAGGGAGAATGAAGTGGAGTATTTCTGGTTGATGTGGCACTATTCTCCTTGTAAGTAAATGGCAGGACAAAAAAAAAAAAAAGACTGTGAGGTTGCACCTGCTATTTAATTTTGTATCAGAGCATTTGGTTATACATTAAAACTGAGCTTTATATGTAAAGGAGAATTACTTTAGAATGGACATGAATGAAAATTGAAAATAAAATTTAGAGTAATATTGGTCATGGATGCATTTCTAACAATTAACAGTTTAAGTTACTTTTGGCTGTTTTTTTTTTTCTAATAGCCAATAATATCTGGCATATATCTCTTAGCTTATTAATGGATGTGTGTGGAGTGCAAGTGCATTAAAATACATGATTATGGTATTATGTAGCTTTTTCTACCTAAATCCTAGTTTTATTTATTTATCCATTTTTGTATACTTAATGACAGGTTGCCTATCCCTCGTCCAGGTGAAGTTTTAGGATTAGTTGGAACTAATGGAATTGGAAAGTCAACTGCTCTAAAAATTTTAGCAGGAAAGCAAAAGCCAAACCTTGGAAAGTATGATGTATGTATACTACTTCATGAAAATGAATACTTAGGTCAGTTTTGTGAGACTTTGAAGGAAAGGATGTAATTTTTTTAATGTTCTTATTTTCAGTATCATTCATTAATGCTGAGAAATAATATATAGATGAAACTCCTTTTTAATTAAGATCTGTTAATGCTACTGATAAATATGAACTTCCTTAAACTGTTAGTGATGTTTTAAAAGCCAGAAGGCTTCTATTTGGATGTACAGTTGACCCTTGAACAATGCGAGGGTTAGGGGTCATGACCCCCCCTCCACACACAGTCGAAAATCTGGTATGACTTTTGACTCCCCAAAACTTAACTGTTAATACCCTTTGGTTGACCAGAAGCCTTACACCAGTAACATAAACAGTTACCTATCTTGTACATGTATTATATACTATAGTCTTAAGGTAAAGCAAGCTGGAGAAAAGATGATGTTATCAATATTAAGTAAGTCATAAGGAAGAGAAAATAGATTTATGGTACTTTATTAGTTATCAAAAAAAATTCACCCATGTTGTTCAGGAGTCAACTGTGTAATAGTCCTCTTTTTTGCATTATTATGTATTATTAAATTCAGATAATTGTATTTCTAGGATCCACCTGATTGGCAAGAAATTTTGACTTACTTCCGTGGATCCGAATTGCAGAATTACTTTACCAAGATTCTAGAAGATGACCTAAAAGCCATTATCAAACCTCAGTATGTAGACCAGATTCCCAAGGCTGCAAAGGTCAGTTGCTCTTTAGGAGGAATTTATGTATTTTAGATATCTGTGGAGGTATAAAATATGTATCAAACTAAACTTACTTTGCTTTGTAACTTTTTAATATTGAAGGAAAATAGTAGTAACTATTTCTGATATATTATGATAGGGGACAGTGGGATCTATTTTGGACCGAAAGGATGAAACAAAGACACAAGCAATTGTATGTCAACAGCTTGGTAAGAGTTTGTTTTGTGTTCATGCTTTAATAGGCCCTGAACTTAACTCATAAAGATAGATACTTATCATATAGATTACTGAAATACAGGGGAAAATCTCTAGGAATTGTTGTATTAACTTTTTACATTAACAGTTTTCAACTGAAATATCATTCATACCCAGAATGATGTGCGATATATACATTTTGCCTAGAAGAGGTAAAAGAAAACTTAACAACATTGAACACAATGCCTCTATATTCTTTGTAGATTTAACCCATCTAAAAGAACGAAATGTTGAAGATCTTTCGGGAGGAGAGTTGCAGAGATTTGCTTGTGCTGTCGTTTGCATACAGAAGGCTGATATGTAGGTTGCTTTGCAAATTTTGTACGCCTTAATCTTTATTTTAGAGTTTTTATTTGTAATACTATTAAGGCATTGCTTTTGAGAGAAGTTAACAGAAATAGTATCTAAAGTTCTGCTTTTGAGCTAAGATGTTGAAACATTTATGCATCCATTGCCATTCCCTGTTATTCCCAAAGGGGGAGAGTAACTCATTTATTTAGATAAGTACTTCACAATTTATGGGTTACAGTGCTGTTTAATATGATCAGTTGCATATTACATAAACTCTGTACATAAAAGGATATTTTTTTAAACTTAAGCTCTCCAACCAGGCCAGCAAGGTTTTTAAATACCTCAAGTAAAACAGGTCTTTTAGATTACCCTAAATCAGGGTGGCATGTCATGTGAGAGAGAAAAGGGAAAAAGGAGTTTCCTTCCTACCTTCTAGTGCCTCTCTTTTCCCAGATATATTGCTCCCACCTTTTTCTACATTCCTACTCTGACATCCAGCGCAGGCTAGCCCTTTTCCACAAAGTGTTCTATAATTCTGTGCGGTGCCCTCCTTTTCAAAAACTCATTTGCTTTAATGCAATGGACTTTAATCAAGAGCAAAGCTGTCTGAATTACTTCAGACTTTATCAGAATATTTTTTCATGAGGCAGTAACACTTTGTACATTAGCTTAATCAGAGAGTCTCTCCCCAGGCTTGATAATGCAGCCCTGCTTTTGCAATTTTTTTTCTTTCTACTTCTGAACAGAATACAAAAGTTCTTACTCTTACGCAGTGGACTCCTCATTGGTGTAAGAGAGTATGGTTGTTGTTAAATCAGAAACTATATTACAGAGCTTTAAAATATCATGTAAGATAGAATTATATCCTATTTGTCTTACAAATCATTGTGTTTGCTTTTCTTTCTCATAGTTTCATGTTTGATGAACCTTCTAGTTACCTAGATGTCAAGCAGCGTTTAAAGGCTGCTATCACTATACGATCTCTCATAAATCCAGATAGGTGAGTATAGATTGGTATGTCTGTCTTATTTTGTTTGGGGAGTTATACAGATTTCTAAAGATTAAACACTGGGGCCATCAATGTCATATGTATGTATGTTTTCTATCAGTTATTTAGAGCCACCACTGGTATTTACCTTCCTCTATCTAGAACAGATGTTCTTTATGCAAGACTTATTTACTACCTGCTATTTAATGCCTGTCTCCACAGAGAGTAGGGATACTTTGGAATGATTTGAAAGTTCTGGCATCTGTGTATGGATTTCTGGGAGGCAGATTCTTAGCTTTTACCAGATTCTCAAATGAATATGTCACTCAAACACAAAATTTACAACATTATAAGGATCACCACAGTAACTCTGGTTATTTAGGGTCTTACTGAACTCTATAGTTCTTAATAACCTGTTAAGTAATCACAGCACCCTGTAGTTATGGGATACTTTTGTAATTTTCAGTTTTTAAATCCATTCTCTCATTTGAGCTTCATAGCAATCTTGTGTGTTAGACTCTTTGGTAGTATTCTCATTTTGTAGATGAGGAAGATTAAGGTCAGATAAGGTAGTTATTTGTTCTATGTTACAAATTTACTACATGGCAAAACTATGGGATTTTTTTCTGTGTAGTATTTTTTGTGCCTCTCATTAATGACTAATTTAATCTCCAGCTATTACAGAATGCAAGAGAAATCCCTAGGGATCAAAAACCAAAGAAAGAACTATAAATTACAAAGAAGAGACTAGAATATGGCTGGAATATGGAATCGAAATTTAGATAATCGGGATAATCTTCTTCACAGTAAGAAAGTAACATAAAAAGAGGGTCTCAGAATCTTTAGTCCTGTCCTATGGTACCTAGCAGAAGCAAATATAAAATCACTTTGCAGGGATATGCCCTCAACCCTGGTCACAGGATTCCTACAAGTAAAGACTCATGAGCTAAAACCCAGGGCTATAAATGATTAAGAGGAAAGCATCTGCAAAGGAGGCAGTAGACACAACAGACAACAGGATTAGACCTTCAAGGAGGTCAGGTGACATTCTCAAACTATAAAATAGTTGTATCTAAAATCCACCCCACAGGTGCCCCCGAGTGGCTCAGTCGGTTAAGTGTCTGAATCTTGATCTCCGCTCAAGTCATAATCTCACAGTTTGTGAGTTTGAGCCCCGTGTCAGGCTTTGCACTGACAGCACGGAGCCTGCTTAGAATTCTCTCTCCTTCTGTCTCTGCCTCTAACCCTCCTCCTGCACGTGCACGCTGTCTCTCACACTCTCAAATAAACTTTAAAAAAAATAATAAAATACAAACATAAAAAAGGATACAAAACCCTAAGAATATGGTACCAGAAAAAGGCAATAGGTAAATGTTCAAAAAACCCAGATTTAGAAATTGAAAGTATAGCTGTGACATAAAAAACTCAATGGACAGAGGCACCTGGCTGGCTCAGTCGGTGGAGCATGCAACTGTATCTCAGGGTTGTAAGTTCCAGCCCCATGTTGGGTGTAGAGATTACTTAAAAAGAAAATCTTTAAAAAATTTTTTCAATGTTTATTTTTGAGACAGAGACAGATTCCAGGGCAGGCTCCAGGCTCTGAGCTGTCAGCAGAGCCCAGTGCGGGGCTCAAACCCACAAATGGTGAGATTGTAAACTGAGCCAAAGTCAGACGCTCAACTCACTGAGCCACCCAGGTGCCCCAAAAATAAAATCTTTAAAAAAAAAAACAACTCACTGGGGCGCCTGGGTGGCTCAGTCATTTGAGCATTGGACTTCAACTGAGGTCACGATCTTGTGGTTTGTGAGTTTGAGCCTTGCATCAGGCTCACTGCTGTCAGTGCAGAGCCCACTTTGGATCCTCTCTGACCCCTCTCTGCCTGCCTCTCCTGCTCTCTGTCTCTCCCCCCACTCATGTGCTTTCTCTCAAAAATGAGTAAACGTTTAAAAAAATACAAAAAAAAAACCCTCACTGCATAGATTAGGTTAGGGGTAACAGAAAAGAGTGTTAGAAACCCAAAAAGTTGATCTGTGCAAATTACCAGAATACAACAGAGAATGAGATTGAACTCAGATTGAGTTCAGAAAGGAGGGTTAGAGAATGGAATGAAAAGGACTGTTTACATATATCTGAATAGGAGTTTGAAAAATGAAGCCATGAAAAAGATCGTGGCTGAGAATTTTTCAGAATTGAAAAATTTGACTCTCTAGATTCAAGAAGCAAATGATCCACATACATACTTTGAAGTGAAACTTAGAATCAGTGATAAAGAGATAATCTAAATTGAGCCAAATAGTAGCTATAATTTTCACATCATACATAGGCCTGGGTATTATGATAGGCTCTTTGAGGAATATAAGAATATAAGATACAGTCCCGGTATTCAAGGATTTATCAATCTGGTAAAGAAAAGAACATACAAGTAGTCAGTAGTTTTCAACCTTAGCCCTTTTATGAAATATTTTTATATTTATTTATTATGAAAGTCATAGCTCATACCTACTTTCACACATAATTTTTTAAAATATCAAATAATGTCCTAACCATAATAAAAAGGAGAACTAAAAAGATAGGTAATTTACAACCAGATGACATGTATCTTAATATACAAATGTTCAGGCAAATCATTACAGTCTTCTATTTTGAGAGGGCAGTAACTGTAATTATAATGTGGATAACATGTCAAAACAAATTAGATTGACAAAGTAAAGAAAATTATTTAGACATTTTCACATTCTTTGGATTCTGAAATTCTGTGATGTGTCAAGGCAGTGTTCAGTCTGTAATGCTATAAAAAGATTGGGTATCCTTTCCTTAAAAAAAAAAAAAAAAAAAAACCAAGAAATAGAGGATGGATTGGAGAAAGGACACTAAGTGCATGAGATTTTTTTAGAATTTGTCCTGTAAGAACATCTTCAGTTAAATTAAAAACCATGTGTAAAAACAAACAAAAAAACCCAACTGTAATCCAAAATTAATTGTAGGAGTTCACAGCATAAATTTCTCATTATGCTACAGATTTGTTTCTTTCCAAACCGTTAGGAAATAGAGTGGCTGGCTCACTTAATTCTTTCTTACATTTTGGACTTCTTCATAAGCTCCACTTAAAAGTAGGGATAGCAGAATGTATGACATGGTTTTTTTCCTTCTTCTCAAAGCAAATTAAAAGCCACTAGATGGGCGCCTGGGTGGCTTAGTCGGTTAAGCATCTGACTCTTGGTTTCAGCTCAGATCTCTCGGGTTTCGGTTTCGTGGGTTCAAGCCCCACAACAGGCTCTGTGCTCTCTCTCTAAATAAACTTAAAAAAAAAATTTTTTTAAAGCCACTAGGTAATACTATGCTGCCTTACATGGTGTCTAGAAGGCTTTAATGTTAAGAAATAGACAGTCCAGATAATGGAACATTGCCAAAAAAACACCAAGGCAGGATGAGTACTGGCTCACTGGGTGATTTGCCATTTTTATTGATGCTTCTTACTACCAATGTGGTAGTAAACATTTGCTCTTAATATTTTCTTTTCATAATTAAACATGCCCCCATTTTCTTTTTCATTCCTCTTACTATCTGATACCTAGATTGCTATGGGAGTTTCCTAAAAAAAAGCCAGTGGTTCTTTCTTCTTGACAGATTAATCTTTCCGAAATGTTTTTTCTTACCGTTCTCTTATTCCAGAACTGTGCTATACCTTCTAGTCATGTTACTGTTTTAATTGAAATTAAAAATTCATTCCTTCAATCAGTCTACCCACATTCCACATGCTGCACATAGAGAATATTTTCATAACCATAGAAAGTTTTACTGGACAATGTTATTTAAGAACCTAACCATTTTGCCCCATTGCCAATTAGCATAAGTCCAAAATCTTCATTACCCAACAACTTTATTAAACATCTCTTTGGTACATAGCACAAGACTAAAAATCATAGAGGTGCTAAAATGTATTATATAGTCTGACTTCACACAATTTAGGGACAAGTTGCCGAGGTCCTCAATAATAAATAAAAATAATAAAAAATAAAAATCCAAATATCAGTTCAGAGTTACAGGGGGTCAAGAGTTGGGGAAAGAAAGCTCATTTGCGTAATATCAAGGGGACCCTACAGAAGGTAGGATTTGTGATGGACCTTAAAGGATTGAGTAAGATTTCAGCAGGTGAGGATTTAGACAGGAGAACATTCAGGAGAAGGAATAACTCTTAGACACACAGAAGTGGAAAAGTGGATTATTCAGGAAACAATGAAAGATCCATTTTTCAGTGTGCCTTATATGTACATGGGGAAAAATAATAGCTGAAGTTTTGGAGAGTTTTGAAACAAAGTCTTAGGACATTAATTTGTTTTATTTGCAACTGAGAGCCATATCTGGGAACCTGAAAAGAGTGAGGTTTGTTAAAAGTTTATAGAAATGTTGAAAGAAATGTGAGAGCCTAAACTAGAATTTAGAAAAAAGAAAAGGATGAAATAAATGCACAAGACATCGTTGAGAAAGAGTTGACAGACTTGACAATTTAAACAGTATATTAGGAATAAGGTTAGTCCTATTTTATGAGAATGATGATTGCATTAATATAAATATGGAGAATTTTTATTTGTACAGGAAACATAAGTTGGAATTTGAAGTGTCTGTAGGACATTGCTTTTTTTAACATTTTGAACTAACTTGAATAGGAATAAAGTGCTGCATAAAAGTGTCATGACCATTATTTGCCTGATAGTTTGTATGCCAGCAATAGTTTTTTCTTACCACTTCAAAAGTCATGTCAGATACTGTCCCACTTACAGAGTGCTCCAGTACACACTAACCTATTTCCTTGGCCTTCACTGGATTTTATATCTAGAGAACATGCGTAGCTGTGTAGTTTTTTTTTTTTTGTTTTTTTCGGGGTTTTTTGGTAATGTTTCATGTCTATTCCTTGTCTTCCCCAGCTAACTTGGAAGTTCTCAGGTTAAGCATTCTGTCATATTCTCTGTATTCCCCTACCACAGCTAACAGATGGGACAGGACAACTGTAAGGGCTTATTAACGTGCAAGATGAATAGCATAATAAACAGTTTAAGCTACATCAGATTTAAATCTATTGTAATTGTGTCTTTGTAAAGTTTATTTAAAAATGTGGGGGTTTTTTGGCAAAACACACTTATTTCATGTCTCCATAGACTGTTTCATACTAACTTTTTTTTTAGTTTAGGAAAACAATTTGAAATAGGAAGACTGATAGAGTCTTATTTAATGTCTTACGGCTTTGGTTTAGTATGGTCTTTACATTTAATTTTTTTAACATATCTGTTTTCCTGGAATTTATACTGTTCTGTGTAAGAGTTTAAATTGTAATTAAATCTAATTTTATTTTATATGTTATGTTACATTTAAAAATAAAAATCTGTATTGACTTGCAGATATATCATTGTGGTGGAGCATGATCTAAGTGTATTAGACTATCTCTCTGACTTCATCTGCTGTTTATATGGCGTACCAAGTGCTTACGGTGTTGTCACTATGCCTTTTAGTGTAAGAGAAGGTAACTTGAAAAACTATTTCCACAATGCTGTATTATTTCACTCTAATGCTTAGAAAATGTATTGTTGATATTCAGCAGTTACATGTTGCTCTAATATTTATCCAAAACTCCAGTCTTAATGGAAGTTAATCACTCAACAATGTATATATAAGGTTATGTACATTGTTTGTTATTCAAAACTTTCTTTTTGGAGAATTTTCTATTGCAATGGGTAGAAATGCTGTATCAGTTTCACTGTTTGCTATCTTAAAAGTTGTTTATTATATTTTGGCTTCTACAACTTCTAGTATTTATCATCTTCAGCTTTATCTTTGAAAGGCCAGAACCAGTAGTGAAACTCTTAATTAGTGCTCATCTTGTTCCCATTTTTCAAATTTTTCTATAATCTGTGTCTTAAGTTTGTAGAACTTAAGACTGTCTAGAGAAGTCTAATAAGATAGTGTATTAAATTAAAACAAGATAGTGTCATATAGTTTAATGAGTAACTAGAAGTCTAATAAAATAGCCTAATAAGCCTATTTTCATTTATTCCTTCTACTGTCAGGAAAGAGGGACTCTCTGGTGTCTCTTTTCCATGTCTCTTCTCCACCTAAGCAAGTTAGGCAAAACTAAAAACTAACCTACTACTAAGTGGCTCCTGAAACAAATATCAGTGCATTCTCCACCTGGTATGCCTTTTTCTTTTTAATTTCTTTGCCATTTCCTACCACTGATTTCTTTCTCCTCTTTTCTTTATATTTCATCTTTTCAGCTGTGCCTTCAACTGACAAAAAGACTACCTAGTTCATAGTTTGAAAAAATTCCTATTTTATAAGAATAATTATTCATGTAGTCTTGTATGTAAATGCCTAGGTTAGGCAGGCTCCTTTTTAAAACAATCTCTTCAAGAATAATTTTTGAGATACGTAAGTACTTATCTGCTTGTACCTTTGAGGTAAACAGATGCATATGTTCAGGAAAAAATTTGTGAGATTGCTTAATTTTCTTTCCAATAGTCTTAAGAGATGATATCAGAAAGTTATTAATTTTTTACTCTCCTCAATTAGCAAGTATTTATTATCTATTCTATACCTTGTAATAGGTCCAGAATTGCATTGATAATGAGGTAGGTTCCTGGCATTCACTTGTCACAATTGTAGTTATAAATGCCTTGTCTAAAAGCTATGCCATTTTTTTTTTTTTTTTTAAGTTGTTTGTTTTGTTTTCAGAGAGAGCGAGCCAGGCAGGGGCAGAGAGAGAGGGAGAGACAGAATCCCAAGCAGGCTCCGCACTGTCAGTACAGAGCCAGATGCCGGGCTCGATCTCACAAACCATGAGATCATGACCTGAGCCAAAACCAAGAGTCGGATGCTTAACTGACTGAGCCACCCAGGTGCCCCTAAAAGCTATTCCATTTAAGAAATGGTTCCTGTTGAAGCTTTTAATGTGCCTCGTTTGTTAAAACAATTCTAGTAAACTTTCCTTCTTTCTGCTTTCTTTTAATATACTGAAATTAATGTCATACATAACGTAAAAGCTCTCTTTGAGCTCTAAAGACAGTTATAGCTTAGACTCAGTTTTAGATTGACAAGTTTTACAGTAGAAATGGAAAGGCTGGTTTTTTAATGTCTCTTTGCACACAATTTTCTGAGTCTTCATTTCCTTACCTGATAAATTAGGCATTTGGAATCAGTGGCTACTAAGGTTTCCGTCAAGTCTATGTTCCCTTCTAACTTTTGGTTTTAATTTTTTTAACCTCACATTTATAATTTTTAAAGAGTTTTATGATCAAAAAATACTAATTTTGGCAGGATGAATTTATTCTTTCAGCAAATATTGAACACCTGTGTTCTAGGCAGAGGCTGTAGTCCCCCAGATAGGGCTCTGAGTTCCAGATGAGATGAATAACATCCTCAAGCTTTCTTTCGAGACCTTCCAGACTTGAGCTACTGTCTTTCTTTTATCTTAAATATAGGAATCACTGAAAATAGATCTTTGCATTTTTCCCATGTAATCCACTTTTTCATTTCTGTGTCTGCCATTGCACATCTTCACAGTTTTAATATGGAGGGATTCTCGTGCGTAATATGTTAGTTTTCTTTCAGTCACTAAAAAATGTTTAGATAATGGTGTATATTTTTGTACAGTGAAGCCAAAAAAATGTTAAATGAAGTTCATTATAAATGTGTTGCAAACCTGTAAAATTAATCTGAAAACATGCAGTATTTTAGAACTTCAGCTTATGGTATCTAGATCTCATGTGAAAATGCATATTCATAACTTGTTTATTTAAAAAATTATTCTCCAGACTGTATTATTTTATGTCAGTCTATGAAAATACTCCCATTTTTTACTTGTCATTTTTTGAGAAAAATCACAAGTTTTGATTTAAAAAAAACAGAAACGGCACCATATTCTTTTGCACAAAACCTGATGGGGAAGAAAATCTTATATAAAAATCACATCATTAGTGAAAAGATATTCTTTGTACATATATGCTTAAGTTTTTTAAACTTGTATCAAATACATAAGACACCCTGTTGTCACTGCATGTTACCACAAATTCACAGATATTTGAAATCTGTGCTTAGATTGCTCCCAGGAGAGCCTAGGATTTTGGGTTTTATATGATAATTTCTTGCTGTGGAAAAGATTACTCTTTAAATGACCTTCACTAATCTTTTGTCAATGACTTTCCAACAGGCATAAACATTTTTTTGGATGGCTACGTTCCAACAGAAAACTTGAGATTCAGAGATGCATCACTTGTTTTTAAAGTGGCTGAGACAGCAAATGAAGAAGAAGTTAAAAAGATGTGTATGTATAAATATCCTGGAATGAAGAAGAAAATGGGAGAGTTTGAGCTAGCAATTGTAGCTGGAGAGTTTACAGATTCTGAAATCATGGTGATGCTGGGGGAGAATGGTAAGTTTTCCTTATGTTGTGATATTTGGAAGTCTGTTCTGTTTATCCAGTTACTTTGTTTCAGCTACTCCATGAAAAATTTTGACTCAGTTGTAAGTGGGAGCTAGACTGAATCCATACATTTCTCAGTGTAGTTCACATTTTATAACATTGTATGATTTAATGTCATTGCCACCCAGTCAAGTTTATATTTCATATATTTTGTTCCATAACTTTTAGTGAAAATAAGATACTTTTCCAAGCTAGTTTTTCTGTGTATAAATTATTAGGGGATTTATTCATCTTAGAAACAGATGAGGAAGGAAAGGATAAAATAATAAGGTAATTCAGAAGGAATCTAGTTTAAGATTTTTTCTTGAATTCCTCCATTTGAGCTTTTATTATTTTAAATTCAGGCTAGCCTACCTTTGTAAATAGTTGTTATTACCTGAATTTTCAATTTTAGAATACTGTCATATAGGGCTATGAGTTGAATTCGAGTACCAAATGTCTGGTATTGCTTTCAAGATTGAAAAAAAAAGATTTGAATTGTATACTTATAGCTTGTAAGTCTATAGAAGAGAAGTTTTCTACGACGATTTTGCCATGTATTTCAGTCTTTAGGTAATGGAAGAATTTTGAACCGGGTTGCGTTTTATGCAAATGGACTTTCACATGATGGTAGCAATCATAACAATATTACATTCCTTAACAATAAATTGTATTGGTATTTAAGCTAAAAAAGTCTTTTAAAAAGTAGCCCAAAACTTGTAATGGTTACTAATAAGATTTATTAGTCTATATTCCTCTAATTAGTTTCGAATGATACTTCAGAAGCATATCATGAAAGTTTCAAGTATTTTTGTTTAGGCTTCAGAATTGAGTAGTGTCAGTGTATACCTTTAAAACTAATTTCTCAATTAAAATCCAGTAGTGTACATAATGTTTTACTTTAAGTAAACATGAAGCATCTTACAAGTCTGTTTGTTATGTATATTGTGTTGGCAGGTACTGGTAAAACCACATTTATCAGAATGCTTGCTGGAAGACTTAAGCCTGATGAAGGAGGTACTGTTGCATCGTTGTGTTTTTACTCTTTCCCACATAGGAAACTTTGAAGATATGGGTAATTTTCAGTGTCTTCTTTATTTGCATTATTTTGCAGGAGAAGTACCAGTTCTCAATGTCAGTTATAAGCCACAGAAAATCAGTCCCAAATCAACTGTGAGTTATTATTCTGTTATTTGGTTATTAAAGGAAAGTTTATGCACACACACACACCTATAGCTTTAATCTTTCACTGTATCAAAATTCTTCTCCAAATTTCTGTGTTTTACCAAAAATGGCTAAAGAAAGAATTAAGACATAAGTGGTTGATTCATTTCCACATAACACTAGCAAGAAAATAAAAGGCCACCTACAAGATGGGTGAATACATTTGCAAATCATTTATCTAATAATACTCATATCCAGACTCATATCCAGAATATACATAAAGAACTGTTACAACTCAGTTTAAAAACAGACAAAGGATTTGAATAGACTTTTTTTTTTTTTTTTTTAAAGTAGGCTCCACGCCCAGCATGAAGCCAGTGCAGTCAATCCTAAAATCAATCCCTGAGCTGAGATCAATCCCTGAGCTGAGATCAAAAGTCAAATGCTTGGTGGGGCACCTGGGTGGCTCAGTTGGATGAGTGTCCGACTTCGGCTCAGGTCATGATCTCATGCTTTGTGGGTTCGAGCCCTGCATCAGGTTCTGTGCCACCAGCTTAGAGCCTGGAGCCAGTTTCGGATCCTGTGTCTCCCTCTCTCTCTGCCTCTCCCTCACTCGCCCTCTGTCTCAAAAGTAAATAAACATTTAAAAAAACAAAGAGTTAAACGCTTGGGGCGCCCAGATGGCTCAGTTGGTTGAGTATCCAACTCTTGATTTCAGCTCAAGTCATTATCCCAGGGTCGTGGGATCGAGCCCTGTGTCAGCTCTGCACTGAGTATGGAACATGCTTAAGATTCTGTCTCTCTCTCCTCCTGTCCCTCTCTCTCTCAAAAAAAAAAAAAAAAAAAAAGTCAACCGACTGAGCCACCCAGGCACCCCTGAATAGACATTTTTTCAAAGAAAATATTCAAATGCCCAAATAAGCACCTGAAAAGATGCTCAGTACCATTAGTCATTAGGGAAATGCAAATCAAAACTACAGTGAGATATTGCACACCCACTAGGATGACTTAAAAAGACAGTAACAAGTTTTGGTGAAGATGTGGAGAAATTGGAACCCCATACATTGCTGATGGGAATGTAAAGTGGTAGAGCCACTTTAAAAAAAAAAACACCTGGCAGTTCTTAGGATTTTTTTGTTTGTTTTTAGTTCTTACGATTAAACATAGTTACATACGAACCAACATTTCCACTCCTAAATACATACCCAGGAGAAATGAAGACCTATCTCAACACAAAAATTTGCACACAAATGTATTCATAATAGCCAAAAAGTGGAAAACAACCACAATGTCCATCAATTGTAAATGGATAAACACAATGTGCTATATCCATGAAATTGAATGTTATTTGATCATAAAAAAAAAAAATACTGATAAATTTTAAAATATGAACCTTGAAAACAAAGTTAACCTTTGGTTCTGCAAGTATTGTAGTGAACTTCTTAACTATGGTATTTGCACTCAGGACCTCAGCCTTCACTTTGTTAGGCCTATTTGAGATTGCTTAGATTTACACTAAAAGTTTTATCATTGGGGGCACCTGGGTAGCTTAGTCCAACTCTTGATTTTGGCTCAGGTCATGTCTCACGGTTCGTGAGTTTGAGCCCCACGTTGGGCTCCACACTGACAATACAGAGCTTGCTTGGGATTCTCTCTCCCTTTCTCTCTGCCCCTCCCCTGCTCACACTCACGCTCTCAAAAATAAATACTTAAAAAAATTTTTATCGTTGGTACTTTGTATAAGCTTAGCTTTTAAGTTCTCAGACTCGGCCCTCTCCTAAAATGACAAGCACATGACATCTTTAGAAATCATCCCTATTATGCATTTTGTCCTATCTTGCTGATTGCCTAAGGGTACTTGATACCCACACTGACCTTGAGCATTATTCCTATTCTCAAATGATTTCTTAAACTTTTTCTTTTTTTTACTATTTATTTATTTAGAGATCAAGAGCAAGCAGGGGAGGGGCAAAGAGGGAGACAGAGAATCCCAACGGAGCCTGACCACAGGGCTGAAACCCTCGAACCGTGAGATCATAACCTGAGCCGAAAACCAAGAGTCAGACGTTTACCTGACTGGGACACCCAGGCGCCCTATCAAATGATTTCTTTCTTGAAACAGTCATTGTTTACTACTCTAAGATTTTAAGATTGTTTTTACTTGTTGGACATGATGGGTTTCTAATAATTTTAGGACATGCCATAGACGATGGAGAAGCATAATACTATCATATCTGTGGGTGGTAAATTGATATACTTTTGCTCTGGAGCTTAACTTGGTGAAGATACATAGAGGAGTTCTGTACTGAAAATTCCAATACTTTTTTCACTAAAAACAGGGAAGTGTTCGACAGTTACTACATGAAAAAATAAGAGATGCATACACTCATCCACAGTTTGTGACTGATGTGATGAAGCCTCTGCAAATTGAAAACATCATCGATCAAGAAGTATGTATTTTGGTTCTTGTTATGTTATTATTTTAAGCTTTGGGTGTCTCTGTGTGGTTTGCTAAACTTTTTTTTCTCCAAATAGGTACAGACGTTATCTGGTGGTGAACTGCAGCGAGTAGCTTTAGCTCTTTGTTTGGGCAAACCGGCTGATGTCTATTTAATTGATGAACCATCTGCATATTTGGATTCTGAGCAAAGATTGATGGCAGCTCGAGTTGTCAAACGGTAATGTCCTGCCACTAAGAGTATTACTTTTAGTTAATGTGCACTGGCATACAACGGTGCTTAATACACATTTGAATATTTGATCATGTAAAACTGGAAACATGTTCAAAATCATGTATTTTAGTTTCATACTCCATGCTAAGAAGACAGCCTTTGTTGTGGAACATGACTTCATTATGGCCACCTATCTAGCAGATCGAGTCATCGTCTTTGATGGTATTCCATCTAAGAACACCGTCGCAAACAGGTACAACTGTTTTCTGAAATATTCAAGCCTAATTATAAGTTCTGTTAGAAAAGTATTATTCAGAATTTTCCAAGAAGCTTATAAACATTAATCATACCATTTTAATTTTTAAAGAAGTAGCCAGAAATTCTAAGAATGATTCTGTGACTCCCAGGATTATTCATATTGAATACTGGATGGAAGTGTTCAGACTAATATAGTTCAGTTTATTCCTGACCCTAGGGAATAAGCATGCAGAGCTCTGGGCTGCTCAGCTTTTCTTGAAAGTTAACTTTTGTCTGCTTCATTATTTGGATTTTCAAAACATACTAGGATTTTGATTTTGCAGGTAATTCCCTGAAAACCATAGATGTTTTTGCATGCAGCAGTTAAGGAAACAAGGTTATATGATTTGCCCAACTTACACTGCTAGTGGTAATGCTCATAGTGGACCCCAAATATCTGGTATTGATCTATAGCAGGGTCAAAATGATTGTACCTTTTCTCCTTATTTTCTCTAATTTTTCCTTATTGGCCTGATTTAGAGCTCTTGTAATTTAGAGAAGTCTCACATTGAAATCAGTTTATGAGGAATGTCTTAGTGCTAAAACCCTCTGTTAAGTTGAACCGTATGAAATTACTGACATTCAGCCATTTTTTACCTATAAAAAGAGCAATTTCGTGTGATTCCATTATGTTCTCTGATTTTAGGGAGGAAAGGAGTTGCTATTTGAATAAAAGTACTTTACTGAGCTTCTTCCCAGAATTTCTTTTCATTTTAATTTGTTCATCAATTGGGAATTCCATATTTCTTTGACAGGGCAATTTCATAGACTCTGTAAAGCTTATTTAAATAACCATCATCTGTATTTACAAAAAATGCTTATTAAAGTGTTTCACAAGTATGATGTAATTTAGTGTGATTTAAGAACGAATTTGGGTAAAAAAAGATGAATGATGCATAGAAATGGAAAAAGGAGGTACAAGTAAAATCCCTTGTGCTGTACATACTCCCTCCAGTGCCAGATTTCTGATGTGAACTTTACCTTTTCTGTTAAATTCTCTTATCTCCTATAAATGTCAGATTTGAAATTCTGTAATCTCCTAATTAATGATCTTTTGTTTTTCTATAGTAGTAACTTCCATCTTAAATGTTTCTTTTTCCAGATTAGAAACACCGGTCAAACTGGGTCTGTTTTGCACAAAATATTATAGCCAAACTAAGTACTCCAAGGAAAGACACTTCTGAACATAGAATTAATTTATAATATGCTATAATTATATACTATTATCCAGATATGATTAAGGAATTAAAACAGTGATGCTTAATATTAATACTCTTCAATCCCAAAAAGTAGTTAACTTTGGTGGGATGAATTTTAATCACAGTTGATCTTATTTTTCCTCTAGTCCTCAAACTCTTTTGGCTGGCATGAATAAATTTTTGTCTCAGCTTGAAATTACATTCAGAAGAGATCCAAACAACTATAGGCCAAGAATAAACAAACTCAATTCAATTAAGGTATGTAGAAAAACTATCTTAAATCGTGGTTAATTTCTCATTATAAATCATTGAAAGGCATGTTTCAAATTGGAAGACTTTCATGAAAAATTTTGTCATTTCATTAATTCTGATTCATATTTTTCTCATTTAATAGTCTGGTAGGCAGTAATTCTGATATAGTTGCTATTGCTACATGGACTCATACCTGTTATCTCGAGTTGTGCCCACTGTTGTACTGCCTGTGTTGCCTTTTTAATATCTTCAGAAATATTACACTAATTCACTGTTGATACAGAGTTTTTACAAATGACCGGTTTCTCTTATTTTTCAAGAGCACGAGAGCAACACCTGATTAAAATATTTTAAGAATCCAAGCAAACGTCTTCAATGAGCATAAAATTCTACACAGTGGAAAAACATTTTGTCAGTTTAATTGGCAGCGTTTTCCATTAGTGTACATAAAATAATTGATTATGCTCCTTATAGTTGATGTAGACTATGAAACGTGTTTTTTTTTTTTTTAGAAGATAATAATTACTTGCTCACTTGGGGAAAAAAGCAAATGACTTCTAAAAAAGCATTTCTGTGTTTTTAAATACCTCCTGCAGTGCCTGCTTAAAATGCTGCTTATGCTTCATGGCCCTCTAGCCCTTGTTTTTAATACTACCATTTACTAGATTTTATTATTTTCATATTTGTACTGTAGCTTTTCCACTAAAGTGTATGACTTCTTGGAAAGCAGAGACAAAGCCAACATATACATTCTGTATTCCTAAAGAGCTAACAGTGTCTTAATGCCTTAGGCTTCACTGTGTATTTTGTTTGGTATGCTTTATCTTACTCTCTAGCCAAGATAAGGAAATTACAATTACAGTTTTAAGCCAGTTTGTAAACTGAACTGGGAAAAAAATAGTTCTATATGAGTTCTGTGTAATAGGCAGTTCTCAAACTAGACAATGTTACCTTTTGGACTGGGAGTTTAAAGTCAGAATGATAAAAGTGGAATTCAAGAGTTCAGCTGGAAATAGTATTTTATAAAGCAGAATTTTACATGCATACGTAAGGCATGTTCTATGAAGAGGCTTTGCTTGAGGATGGACCAAGGGAAGTGTTCTGGTTGTAGGGATGACTAGCAGTAGTAGTAATCCTGCCTTTGATTTAGTGGACCCACAAATGTCCAGAAGCAGACAGTGCGTGCAGAGGAGGTTGTATAGACACTTGTAAACACTGCTAAACAAGACTGGGTGAAAGACTACCCCCCCTACGTATAGGAGAATGGTGTTGATTTTTGTTGCTTCTGTTTCATTTTTAGGATGTAGAACAAAAGAAGAGTGGAAACTACTTTTTCTTGGATGACTAGACTGAATCTGAGAATGTTGAGAAGCCATTTCTTAAAAGAAACATTTATTGGGAATTTTGTCATATAAAACTTGAATCAGGTTTTTAATGCCCCACATACTCTGGAGCTTGAAGTATAATTTACTTAATGTAACATCAAAAGCCAGTTGTGTTGTAAATTAGTACGAACACAGAAAATGCCAATTTTCTGTTCTTGATAAGGCCCTTTTTGTATATAACATTCTAAAATGAAGACATTTCAAGCTATACAAATTACCTCCCAAGTTTTCATGATGTATGGGAAGATTTCAGTAGGTGTTATCATATTCGTGTACCAAATGCTGACCAGTGTTGCTCCCTTTTAAAAATCTTGAAAAAGCTTTCCGTACTTCTAGTTTACCAAATATGCCAGTATAATGAAACTGCCCTTATTTTAAAAGCCGAAGACTCCACTAATGAAATTTGATAAATAAACATCAGGATTATATTTGTTACTTGTTTTCAGTCTTTGCAAGTGTGTTTAGACTTTCAAAGTAAAATTACTACAAAACCCCACTGTTGGAAAATGGCCATGTTCCCAACTTAGCATTGTTTACAGCATTGTTTTCGGTGTGTTTTAGTATCAAAAATCATTTCCACACACCACCCCCATCTGCCAGAAAAAAATCCTAACTTTCCTCTGAGTTACTCAGTTTCAGCATTCCGTAAGATTCTATAATTCTCCCAAGTAATGTCATTCTTCAGACATTTGTGTAATCATTGATCAAAATTTAGGAAAAGCATTTTAAAGAATATTTGCTTCCTTCAAAATATTTAGAGTTGATGCCTAAGCATCTGTGTAATTTAAACTTCCACAGGTTTCTGATGGGCAGCCAAGGACAACATTACAGGCGACATTAATGCAAACGAGTCCCCAGATAGCATTGTAAAATATCTCTTGGTACCAAATATACTCATCTCCACGTTTGGATCTAGAGGACATTAATTACATCTGTTTGACTTTCGAGTTTTGGATAGTATGTAGCAAGAGCTCTAAAAACTTACTGCATCTCAAGTTCCTGAGTTTGAACAGTGGGATGTGGTGTGAAACCACTCTCAATTACACTTCTAGTGCACTGAACTAGAACTTATACTACAAGTGAGGAAAAGAGTTTACTGAAATGAATTAATGGGGCAGGTAAAATAGGAAAATTAGAAATTACTGAACAAACTTTTAGAGCTCCTTAAAACCATAGAAGCGTTAATTAACATGCAGACAATGAATAGAGAATGTGATTTAACTGGTCCCCTTTAGGCCTTTTAAAAATTTATGAGTAATCCATAAATACAGGTTTGTTGTGAAAAATTCAAACCTACTGAAATACATGTTAATAAAATGTCCTCTCCTCACATTACCCTCCCAGAGGTTACCAGTGTTTGCATTTAATAATATATATCCTTTTATGCTTTTTCTGTGCACTTAGCTAAGTGTGAATATGTAAAGGGTTTGTTTTGTACATAAATGGGATTATACTAAAGTAGTGCCTATTTTTAAGGATAGGTTAAATTTGTGAATGATTATTTCAAGTATATTGAATAAAATAAGACAAAAGCTGTTTTTACTTACTGATTCCGTATTCTGTCCTAAAGAAAACACTTGTGGTAAAATAAGCACAGTTCTTTCTACGTATTGCTGACGACAGAATATGTATTAACTGTAATATTGTTTGTGTAAATGAAATTTTTAAAATACGGATTTAGACGTTAAACTTTTATATAGCAATAGAAAAGATCTTACAGTTGCTAACAAAAGTTTTTCTATAAAAACCAACTCAAATACACTACCAATGCAGATGTTAGCTATTAAATTTGGACATTGGAAAATCTCTCTAAATGGTGCAACAGTTCATAAATACACCATTTATTGAAAATATATAAAATATTAAAATGCCAAAAGGATACTCAAGGCAGTAAGCCTTTGGGAATGCGAACTTGGCTAAATAACAGGCAAAGGAAAGGGGATATATACACATATGGCCATTACCTTTTGAACTTCATATACTGTATCAACTGTTTAGAGATCATTTAAGTTTTTAAACCTTCAATAAAGAGAGAATCTGTATTATGTTCAACCAGTGTACAGCAGTATTAACAAAAGCAGTGTATTTATGCAATTTAGGTTTACCTGATATTAGACCATAGCATCTTGAAACCCAGTCCCGAATCTCTTGCTTATAATTGCGTAGTTTGACATCTGGCATGTAGTTTGCCTTCTACATCGTGGCCAGAGATAAACAACTCAGTTTATAATTTCATCCATATCCATTAACATTGAGATACATTTATGTCAAGCTCACAACCCAGTGTTTGGTGAATGCACACTCTGGTTCAGAAGAGAAACCATTCTGGGTTGGAGAGTCAGGGCTAAATGAAGGAGGTAGCTCCCAGAAAAAGTAACATCTACAATGACAAATGATAAATAATGCGAAGCAGAACGTCAGGTGAGACAGAAATCAGCATGGGCATGAAGAAATGAGAGGAAAGGATGAATACAGGCAGGTTTAGTGGGTTCTCATCGCCTTCATTACAGGTTTTTACGTGCTCGTTAGGGATTGAGGAGATAAAGCAAATACCAGTTAAGGCAGCAGCTAGAATTACCAAGACAGCAGTTCTTCAACAGCTTTTAGTTTTTATTCTGTCGTCTTTCAGTATTTTGGAACCACTTAGATCCTGTCCACTTAACTGTTTCTGCTACCTCTTACTCTTGATGGGATTATTTCCTTGCCTTTTGGTTAATGAATTGATGTTGTGGTATTTTATCTGTGAAAATCCCAAGGTTTAGTGCGCTAAACACTCCCCTTTTCCTTCCCAACCTTGTACTCACCAGCACCTCCTTCCTTGCAGTTTCATAGGGTAGTATGTACCCAGCACCGGACAGTGGGTCATAAATGAGCAAAGACAATCATGACAAGTCCTTCTTCATTTTCCTAGTCTCTCTTAGAGCTAGGCATGGCCATGTTGACCCAGTTCTAGCCAGTAAGTTCAAAGTAGAAGTCTCTTGGAGTGTTTCTGGAAGCCCTCTTGACTTCTTGAGAAAAGGAGATACTTATCTGGTAATACTTCTTGTGGATTTGTTACCATAAAGTGGCATAGGGAAATGCCAAGAAAGCCACAAGGATGCTAGTCTTCACATTAAAACTGTACAACTGCCACCTACCACTTCCCTCATTTCTCATGAAAGGGAAATAAAACTTTATTTAAGCAGTTAAGTCCAAACAACCTTCCTGTTAAAGTAACTTTGCCTCCTTGGCTGAGGTCTGTCTCATGGAAGGCTCTGCATTCATTTCTGGCTAGGCGACCCACATATATTACCAGCTAGAAACTACTTTTCATCTTAGCTTGCCAACACATTCTGTGTTTGGGGCTTTTAGGTTTATCTTACTTTAGGATTGCCTTTTTTGCTGGGGTGCTCCTGGCTTTAATGCAAATGTTAGTTCCAGTTCCCAACCCTGCACGTGCCCCAGTCTCTCCCGTATCTACACAGTTCACAGCTAATGAAACTGTCAGCCACGTCCATCCATCCCTTTTCATGGAATGCAGGCTTAGTGTCACTTTATGTCCATACCTTGGGTTTCTGGCCTCCACTTTTGGCCCCTACTTTGTGAATATACCCTATATAATTCTATATACCCTATAAAAGTATACATAATTCAAATACTTTTAACTAACTTCTGGTCTAGGAAGTAATACACAGGAAACATTCAACAAGCTACATAGTCATAGTAACAGGTACATACACAGGTAGGTACATACATACAGCAGTTAGTCTGGTTTTCTACTCCATCTGAAGGTGGTTAGCCTAAAGCCAAGGTTTTCATTTAAAAGAAAAAAATTAGTACCCAGAATTTTTATTGTGAACAGTTAAGTAAAATATTCAAAGAGATAGGAGGCCATGAGAATCACACTGTTCATCTTCTGTATTTGCATCTTTTGATCTCGATATTTTTTCTGAATGTGAAAACTGAAATCTAGTTACAGAAGTATTATGTACATAAAAAGGATGGACTTTGAAGCTCCAACTTCTCTAATGAACAATCTAAAAGCCTCTTAACATGTTTACAACCAGTGTCTGTAGCTTTACACGTGAAGAGCTTATAAATTTAAGGCTTAGGAAAGGAAGCTGTTTACTTCTTTTGTAGTTTACTTTCTCATACTATTCCCCAAACATGGACCCAACAGCCAAATTAAGCAAAAATACAACAAAATACTCAAAAGTGAAAAGTCCTTTTAATTATAGACAACTTAATAAAAGAAACTGTATAGAACACTTCTGGTCACCTGCTGCCACCTTTTTATCCATCCACTTCAAGTGACCAAATTCAGAAAGTGCCCCACCCAACACCGAGTAACACCCTTCTTGCTTTCCTCATGCTCCAGCATGCCACTCAAGTCTATGGCACTCACTCAGCTAACAGATAAATGCTTCCCTTTGTTTCTCCTTCTCTCCCTCCATTCCAAGGTTCTGTGATACTTCACTCACCTGCCTGGGCAATCTCAAGGTCAGGCCTACATGCCTAACCAACTTATCCTTCCCAGCTTGCTGCCCCTGTTCCCAGCTCACCTTTCCACCAAACACCTGTTACTGAAAGCTTTTGTTTCAGGCTCTCCTTCCTGGGAAAGCCATTCTTTAGACAAAGTCCATATAGTGAGTAGGTTAAACAAATACTAAGAAATTTGGGGTTTCAGAGTGTTTATGTACACCCGCTGGGTCTTAACTTTTTTTTCATGTTTTTATTTACTTTTGAGAGAGAGAGGGAGAGATAGAATCCCAAGCAGGCTCCACACTGTCAGCGCAGAGCCTGATGCAAGGCTTGAACCCATGAACCGGTGAGACCATGACCTGAGCTGAAATCAAGTTGGATGCAAAACCAACTGAGCCATCCAGGTACCCTGTTTTCAAATAAAACTTTCAAATAGTTTTATCTTTCTTCATTAGACAAATATTACAGGCATACCTCAGTAATACTGTGGGTCCAAGTGAGTGAAAGAGGTTTTTTTTTTTTTTTTTTTTGGTTTCCCAGTACCTGTAACTGTTTACACCAGTCTATTATAAAGTATGCAATAGCATGTCTAAAAACCATGTACATAACTTTAAAACATTTTATTGCTAAAAGTTGCTAACCATCATCTGAGCTTACACCAAATCATAATCACTGATCACAGACCACTATGACAAATAAAATGAAAAAGTTTGAAATATTGAGAATTATCAAAACGTGACAGAGTGATCAAGTGTTAGAAAAACAGCACCAACAGACTTGCTCAATGCAAGGTTGCCACAAACCTCTTACCTATAAAAAACACAGTATCTGCGAAGCACAATAAAATGAAGTGCAGTAAAACAAGGTATGCCTGTATTGAATACTAACTTTAAAATAACCCATTTAATCTGTAAAGTATCTTAGTCTACACATCTCATTTCATTTAATGAACGCTGGAAAAAATGACAGCACTAGTTCTAAAACCACTCAGAGCTAGGTACAAATGCAAATTCTACCACTTATTGGCTGCATGACTTTAGTCAAATTAAATTAGTTGGCCTATTTTTTAAAATTTCAGTTTTATTATATATATTAAGTAGGGAAAACAACAGTACCTACCCCACAGATTATAAATCCCACGTGGTTTTTGGTTTCACATACTAGAATTATCTTCTGACTGGATAAAAAGCATGGAAACCATCTCTTATTTTTAGATATTTACTAAAATTCCTCTTAAGATTTATACGCTATATTACTTGGTTTACCCTGGAACCAAAGAATCACAAGCACAATCAAGAGACAAAATTTAATATATGCACACAGTTTTATATATAATGCAGCATCACACCATGTAGGGCATTTACTCTTATTTTATACATTCAGATATGTTTGAAACACTTCTTAAGGCTACAAAACAGAACATAGAAAAATAAACAGGAATATATCCAACACTTACAAAAAGTGATATGATAAAGAATATAAAGTACTATTTTCCTTTCAACACTTCAAAAGATATGTATATATACTTTTTTTTTTACAAGTAACATCACAAATGATCACATCTTCACATGCTTTTAAGTATTATTTGTACTCAGTGTAAGGCTATTATCATTTTTCATACATAAATTTTCTTCTAGCTCTGTAACAATGCAATTTTTAATCCATTCAAGTAAACTCAACCCCAAAGTTGCTGTTTCCCAGCATTAAGACATGCACCCACCCCTCTTCTAAGATTTTCTAAAACTTGTATTTCAGGGGGTAAAAAAAATTCCCATTTAGTGGGAAATCCCAATTAGCGGGAGAGTAAATGGCTGACACTAGGAGCAAAACCTTAGTTCTTTGAAAATGACATATTGGAACTGAGCCATTACTAAGATTTTAAACAAAAACATAATAGTATTTAGACATTAAATAGGAAGCAAAATACAGTAAACAGAAATCGTGTAGCCAAATATGCATTCTCTTCAGCTACACTAAAATGGACCTTGCTTAGTACCCATAAGTGAAAGACTAAGGTTACCTCATCTAAAACCAAAGGTAAAATAAATGAGGCATAAATAAATATTGCTAGTTTCTAGGATGGCTGAATGTTTTCTAAACCAGAAATGGTCAGAAAGGAACTTTATTGCACCAAGTCAATCATTAGCAAGTTTGCAGTTCACAGGCATTTTAATTCAACCTTGAGTCACAAAGGAAACACACTGCAAGAATATACATAGTTTGCATCAAATAAGCTGTTGTCAGCATCGTGGTTTGGGAAGACCTACTCCTGCCAGGTCAAGGCAGGTTCTGAGCTTAGGTCAGCCATGAAAATGAACATATGGGTTACCAGGAAACAAGACAAGGACTGCACAGATGCTGGCATCCTGCTGCCACCGACTGCGTGGAACAAGAGCCGAAGATGTATCTGAGAGGAAACGAGGAAACGACTGGAAGAGAAATATACACGACGCTAAAAGGAAAGGGACAGGAATCAAGTTCAGCAAAAGCAACTAACTAAAATGAACAGGTGAGCTTTGGTCATTCTAAACATCTGTTCTTCAAAATGTGTATAATCGTAATATGGTGAAGTTCCATAATTTCTAACT